TAAACGCCCCATTCGGATTATTTTTTGTTGATTCAGCTCGATCCGAAAGAATTTGTCATCAGAATGAGACAGGTGGTTTATGCCGATTCATAATCCGAACGGTGCATACTGTATGTAAACAATCTGTTCATTTATTTCCGATTGTGGAAAACTGACTTGAATGTGCATGTATGACCTATGCTACCTCACATTTTTCCGCCTGGCTAATGCTAATAATATTAGCATGTTAGGGAAGCAAAACTGGTCGGTGAGCGATACAACATTTCTACTATAAACTTTGAAAGAGCTCAAAATTATTTGTATTACCTGTAGCTCAGTCAGAGAGTGCAGTAACGTCTCGACCGTCATTAAAACCTGTCGTGGGTCCATTTTGGGCACTCAGTTTTGTTCACGTTCATCCCGGAAGTAAAACGGAAATAGAACTTCTGTGTTTTTTTAAGGCGAGTTTACCACTCTGCACATATCAGCACTTCTGTTCAGAACAAAGCCGGCTGCATGTAAACGCTCGTCGTGAATGGATTGTGCACATGTAAATGATACATTAGAATGATTTAATCTGAAAACTTTTCAATCCAGTCAAAAAATTTTGCGCATGCAAACATAGCTAATGTGGTCCGTGTAAACGAGGATTTTTCCCACCCTCAATCAACATAGAAAAACACTGTTTCTAGTAGCTGTGTCCATGTAAATGGGCCTAAACTTATAAGAAATGTGGGTTTGATCATCAGTAATTAAATTGTTGTTCAGCTAGTTGAGTTAATTTGAGAACCAACCATGGTTAAGTAGTCTGATGTTTATTTTGATTAATAAATATGGGTCATATGTGAGGGAAATTTTTATACTGGCATTTGTGTGGTCATTTTTTTCCAGTGCATTTTATGCTCATTCAACAGACCATCTGTTAAGTGTTAAATATCCATACAACTTTTAAACATTTATCACGGGTAGTTAGGTTCCACCCCCCACCACCACCGCAATAAGTGAAAAACTGTGAAGTAGGGATAGTAGTACAAGTTCAATTAAACTTTATTGTCATTACCATCTCATGTAGTACATGAGATGGAACAAAATTATGTACACTAGTAGTAGTAGCAGTAGGTAATAGTAGTAGTTTATTTTTGTATTTACTGTAGTAGTAGTAAGTAGCAGTTTATTTTAATATCTATATACAGGTATATATTAACGCATTTTAAACCCATCCCACACACTTGCACAGTTCTAAACCCTTAACGCTACGTCATTTTAACGTACAATAAATTTTACTTACCGAGCTCTACTGAACATGAACGACTCTGTTCTGTTTCTGCAGACGTACCCTGCAGCAACTGACAATCAATGTTCTAAACTCTTAAACCTACTAATTTTAACAACATACTTATATGTAGCTACTAAATTGTACAGCATGTCCCTGCTCGGAGGTCCTCATCGGCCGGTTGAAAGAGGTGAAAAAGTCCCATTAAGCTTCAGATGGAGCACAGGATCATCGGCCGCGCACGTATGCTCGGAGGTCCACATGGGCCGGCTACCAGCTCTCAAGATTCACCAATGGGTCTGGAGGTCTGGCTTTGTTCCACTTCTGGTCCGGTTCATTAGGTTTGGTGGGTTCTGTGCGGCTTCTCTGCATCCGCTGGACGCCAATAAGATCAAAACTTTCCCTCTGTTTTTTTTTCAGCAGAAGGAAATGGAGCTTCTGGGTGGGACCCTGTTGCCTTCTGGGAAATGTGGTCATTATGAGTGGGAATACAGTGGAGACTTACGGAGAGAAAACTACAAAAATGGTGGCGCTTGTCCCAAGTATTAATTTTTTTCCTTAACTTTTTACTGTACAGTACTGTGTCCAGAACTGTCCCAAGCATGGGGGTATTAAATTTGACAATCATGTGTCCTGTACATTTTTTGTGCGATATTATGGACTGTACGTTCACAATCCGCGATAGAGCAAGTTCGCAGAAGTATTATATATATACAGTATATATATATATATATATTTATATATATATATATGTATATGTATATATGTATATGTATATATGTATATATATGTGTATATATGTATATGTATATATGTATATATATGTGTATATACGTATATGTATATATGTATATATATGTGTATATACGTATATGTATATATGTGTATATACGTATATGTATATATGTGTATATACGTATATGTATATATGTATATATACGTATATGTATATATGTATATATATGTATATATATATATATATGTGTGTGTGTGTGTGGTTTTTTTTTTTGGGGGGGGGGGGGGGGGGGGTTCCGACTACTCCCTTCTTTAGGGGTTTCCACAGCAAACTCCCATGAAGACTTGGCAATTGTTTTTACGCAGAATGCCCTTCCTGACTCGATCACAGACCACCGAGCTACCACAGTCCTCTGTGTGGAGCAGAGAGCTGCTATATAGGGTACTTGAGGGAGCAGATGGTGGGGGTTAAGGGCCTTGCTCAAGGGCCCAGGAAGGGGCAAGTGAGGGAGGAGGCAGGTGTAAGTGTTTCACCTTTACCACTCACATTTTGATGTTGTTGGCCCAGGGAGCTGAACCGGCGACCTTCCGATCACAGGCCCACCTTCTCTAACCTCTGTTCCACCTCTCCCCTTATTTTACTATGAAATATTACATACAAATAGAAGGAAATATGAAATCTGATACACTTTACGACACAACTGCAAAGTTTCAAAATACAAAATATGGGTAGAAGTATCAAAACATGCAGGTACCCTTATATAAAATGCACTCACACACAACACACACATACACACACGCCCACTGTGTGTTGGCAACACAAGCCTCAGTTCTCAGCTTGTTTTCTTTCAGTATCTCAAAGTGTGTGAGTGGACACATCAGCCCTTCTGTTTATCAACGCTTTTATCACCTTACCATGCTATGTCACCCCTCAGAGGAAGCAGGAGATGCCCTCTCACACACACAGACACACACACCAGCACCTGCAGGGTGCTGGCAGGGGTTAAGAGGAGGGGGTTGTTGTTGACCCACCTTACTGATATGACTGACTTTAGAGACAGGATCTGTCTCAGACTATGCAGGCTAAATACCAGCATGTGTTCCTTCCAGCTGGAAGGTTTCCTGTCAGAAACATTCATGGCTTTGCTCTTTGTGGGAAATACACAACTTTAACAGTTGATGTTCCTCCAGAATTTTTGGAAAACAGGCTATAATACTTTTACTACATTAATGATGTTTTTAAAATAGTGCTTAAATTGTGCACATCTTAGCTATAATGTTCTAATACATTGTTCAAATTTTTTGCCGAGCGTAAGAAACATTAAAAAGCTTTTGTTACCTCTGGCATTCTTTTCAAAGTAGAATAAACTTTGAAGATTTGATCTAAACTTTAAGATCTTACCAGTCCAAGAGTAAAACAAAGCCTACACATCCTAAATGTGGCCTACATTGACTTTAACTTGTGGAGACGACATAAAACAACAAAAATTTAACTCAAACCGGTTCATGTAAAAGTTGGATTAATGGTCTGAAAAGCAAAGCCAACACAGAAGGGCCCAATAGTCGTGTTGTTTGTCAGCAAAAGGCAGGAGGTGTACACACAACTGTAACAATAAATCTACAAATGAAAGATAATCACTTTATTTTTTAATCTAATCCTCAAGAAAACACGAACAAAGTTTTGTTTGGACTGAAACGAAAAGACTTCCATTAACAGGTTTAGATGGAATAAAGGTGTTGGAGGATGAGTCACACATGACCGTACTAAGTTGAAGGTGTGGTGGTTGCTATCCAGAAAGTAAACTTCGAAATAGAAAAACAAACTAACAGTCGACTGGTTGCACAAAAATTATTTTATTGTTACTAATATTAGGAAGTTGTTCTTTTATATCACATACTTAAATCACTGATGACATTTTCATGGGGATTAAAATGTGAAGATCACATTTTCAAAATTCAGCCTGTGACCGACTTCTTTTTCAACCCTTTGTTTTGTCTTTCAGAAAACTGTACATTTAGCAAACTATGGTCCAGATTTGTAGTGAAATAAACAAGATAAAATTTATATAGACACTACCTGTGCTTGGACGCCTTCGTAATACTGTATCAAATACAAAGTCACAAAGTAAGATGCATTTAAGTTATTAACAAAAACAACGTTGGATACCAATTTGTCAACTTTTATTCTGAGATTCCGTCAGTAAAAAGGTTTCCATTTAAACAAATATTTAATTTATTAACGCAATCGCATTGGTTCAGGACTAGTTTTATTTAATTAAAGTCTTTAATTTATTGTCAGCTTTTGATTTAACGTCTTTTATTTGTGGTAAATTGAGGCAACACTGTATGGGCATTCTTAAATTAAACTCTGAATTTTATTGTGTAAGCACTAGAACAGTGTAAAGAAGAAAAACTGTTTTGTAGATATTGGACAGAGTAACGGAAGAGAGAAAATAATGACAAACCCAAAAGGAAATGGGGGCGGAAAAGTCGAGACTATAAATCCTGACTATACTACTTCCTAGCCATGACACTGGCTTCATCGCTGCTCTCAAGAAATACCCCACCTCTCCGTCCTCCAGCGCTCCCTCCCTCTCTCAGCTGCTCTGCCTCCCCTCCCTTCTCGGGGATGGTGTAGCTCTCTCTCGCAATCTGTTGGAGCGGCACACAAGGATTAGAGGGTTGCTGTGAGTGTCTGCACAAAGAGTAGAATTCAGTGGACGGAAAGCAAAAAGAATCTCTTGATGGTTTATTCTACTGGATAGGTGCTCTGAGTCACCTTTACACAGCCTCTGCCTTATCAAACAAGCTGAAGCACCACTGAGCCTTCACCTGGGGGAGGACAGATAATCCAAGGGACTATTAAAGCCTGGATCTCCACAGGGGGAGCCATGTGAGCAGCACCCCTCCACCGACTTCACACAAGAGAACTGGTCCAACAGTCTTAGTGGGAGAGAACAGCCAGGATTTAACCCCTCTCCCTGGAACCTCTACTTCCAAGGCTAAGGGGCTCCCCTGACTTGGCGAACCTCATCAGACTCTTATTTTGGGGTCGGGCTGCGAGTGCCCTTCTGGTCTGGAGACCAGCCAGCAGCACTCCAGCACCATGGATTACCTGCTTGGGACTGTAGTGCTGCTGTGTGTTGCAGTGCAGCTGGGAAGAGGATTTGAGCCCAAGCACAACGTACCAAGACTAAAGCTGTCATACAAGGGTAAGATCTCTGCTCTCCCTGACTCCAGGTTATAGTTGGTGCTTTTAACCCAGACTATATTTCTCTTGCCCCCTGGGTGCTCTTTTATGCTTTTCATTCATTCTGTGCTTTTTTTCTTCTATCTCATCAAGTCCATTTCTGCCTCTGTGTTTCTTATGCACTACTTCTGGCTCTTGGTCTGCATACAAGATCCCTCTTTCTTCTTAACCTTCTGTATTCCTCTCTCCCATTACCTCGTTCCTTCCCTCTCACTCACACCGCCTGTCTCTAAGAATTCACCCTTCTCCTTACAAATGGTTGGATTGTTTCCATATGCTGCGAACAGACTCCTGCCTGAAGTTAAATGTATATTTTGGCCCCTGTATCGTTTTTCCTCTTGTCCCGTCCCCTTCTATTAACACTGCACGTCCCTGGTAAGTGCTCTGAAAAGGTATCGAAGTCTGTTTTAACAGCTTGTGGTGACAGAGCCCTTCTTCAAGGTGGAAATCTTGACTCCTTTTTTATTATATGGTAAATAAATTCAGTTGTTGGAGAGGTTAGATTAATTTAAATATGCACGTTACATCTCCTTTTACAGAGAACAAGCGTGAGTTTGCCTCCTTCTATCCTGCACGTGTACATATTTGATGTATATATAGCAAACATGTTATTCTCTCTCCTTCTGTGTTATTTTGAGGGGAGACTGCGGAGCGCCGGTCCGTCCTCTCCTCCCTCTATTTCCCTCCGTGTCTTGTCTCTTCACTCACACCCTACACTAAATCAGGCTTTTTGTAATAGCAGACTTTTCATCTTGGCCAGCAACATTTTTTTTTTTTTTGCCATATTTTGGGATTTTTTTTGGAAAGGCTAGACTGAAAGTGTGGCAACTTGTTTTTTTTTTTTTTAGTCCCATCTAAATCACGCCCTCTGAAAATTTATGAACAGGCTGATTTGCAGCTTAAAGCACGAGTGTGTGGTTAAAAGTGCTCTCGTGCATTTGATTGTCACCCAGATTGTTGGCTTTTCAGACCATTTTTTTTTTTAGGGAAAATAAAATGTTGGGATTGAACAAGAGCTGGGTATGATGCCTGTCACTAATTCATCTCTATCTTTAGACAAGAGATTTAGTGTAACTTATGTTTAGAGGCCTGCCATATGACATGCTTTATTCTTTAGATGAAGCGCAAGTTGTAATTTCGAGGGCTGTATATTTCCTTTTATCACCCTCTCAACTCCTAAATGAGTGCCTGCGTCCTAAATCTAAAATAAAATGTGACTGACTTCAGGTTTTCTCAGCTCTGTGCACTGTGAAAGTCAAATTGCAGGATTTTAAAACATGACATGAATGTAGAGAAAGTAAATCTAAAAGAAAGTGAACATCCCCTGGGCTTTAATTGCGTCCGTTCACACTAAGATGAGCTTTTAGAAGAAAACGTTTTCTTTACACAGCCATCTGTTTAAAGAATTTGAATATAGTTCCCTCCTGCCCCCTTTTGCGATCCTCTTTGCTGGTTCATTCTGACGTGAACATGTTGTTGACAAAAGTGTGGGACAAGAAACATGTCAAGCATCAAAGTGTGCACTGACTGAGTGATGGATGTGCATTGTCAATCTATGAAGGCAGGTCTATTGGGAGAATGGTAGCCTGTCATGCCATACATTTTTTTTGTTCAGGTCTCTCTTGTAAATGAGTCCCTGAGGTTCAATGGGATTAACCTGTATAAATAAAGGTTGAATGAAAAGTATGCCTTTGCTTACATTAAAGCCATGTTGTGTGTGTGAATGTTCTTACTGGTGTGAGGACTCAACACCCTCTCTTGTGCCTTCCCTCCCCGTGGACTGCGAGTGGTGCGTTTCAGCATGGCAAAAATGTGTCAGGTCTCGCGTGTCCTCATATAATTAGACACCTGGTTTAGTGCACGTGCACGCAAGAGCTCACAAATCGGGATGTTTTATCGTGTCGTTGAGCGTCTCTGTTGAAAGTGTGACTGCAGCCGGCTGTTGGCTCGTGTTTTGCGCTTGTCGGCACAGGCGGACGCAGGGGCGGAAAGGCATGGGAGTGTATCATGTGCCGCTTTCTTTGTTTTTGCGTGGTTGGGGCCCACAGGTGTTGGAAGGCTCTCTGGGTGTCTGTCAGGAGACAGTTCTCAGTTAACACCTACATTGTGGAGGCTGACGGAGGGGATGGGATTCACTCCTAATGAAGGACAAGCTGGCAGATGTACAGTATAGTAGATGACACAAAAGGAAGGGAGGTTGATTGTTAAGCGAAGTGCCACTCATCCCTTTCCCTGCGTGAAGCCGGCATAGTAATTAAGTCAAACAAACAACAGGAAAGAATTCTCCTGGGGAGGACAAGCAAACAAGCAAATCTCCTGAGCGGGGCCCTGAAGCAAGGGGTGCATCACATCCCGATTTGCACAATAATCTCAAGAGCCAGCACGGACCTGTGTTTTGGGTCATTTGGAGAAAAGCAGAGCAGATTCCCATGAAATCATTCTCAAATGAGAGCTGATGACAAGCCTCCAAGGGGCAGGTCGTCACACAGAAGTGATAAATTCTCATAATCTGGAAAGGACAGGCAAAACGACTGCAGAGTGAGCAGTTTGCAATGAAGAACGACTCAGAAAATGGAGACAGGTAGATAGAATGACCTCTCGTGGGACAGCTGGCAGAGCAAGTGGAGAGTAAATGATTTCCCAATGGGGTCAGTTAGACATTCAGCAGAAAGGTTACGGTTTCACGGGGGACACAGCGATGATCGCGGCAGTTAATGATTTTCTCTTCTCCTTGAGGTTGGAGTTATTTTTCTCACCTTGGCCACAAAGAATGAAAAATCCAAGAGCTCATCGTTTCACCACAGGTCAACTTACGTGAACTGCAAATTAATGGTGCATAATGTGACTAACTAAAAGTGATTCACCCAGACTCAATCATCAATTCACCTTGTGACCTTTAATTTACTACTGTACTAAAATATCACTCAAATGAGTGGCAAGGATAATGACACTTCCATGGATCAATGCATACCTGCACACAATCAATGCAGCGCTCACCCGTGCTGTGTAAGCAGCCATCAGGAGTAATGCTGACCCCTAAAGGTCAGTAGAGGCATATACATGCAAATATTAAAGGTAGGCAATACTGAAATACTCAATCCTGTGTGTATAAAATGACCCAAGACTTAAAAAATATATGCAAATTATTCAGAATCATTGAGCTCTTCTCCGTGACCTCTTCATGCCTTCGTGCTCCCCCTATATGGGTGGAACCGAGGAAGAAAATCAGAGCGAGACTGAGAAAGAGACAAGGAATCTGGAGTTGGCTTTTAACCCTTCAAAATTGACACTTGGAGTGGAACCACACTCGAAGATGTCTGGCCCGAGCCCCATAATAAGCCTGTGTGAGAACGTGGGTGTGCCTGCCTGCCCGCCTGTGAAAATATGTGCAGTTTATATGTTTGTGGGTGTTTGCGTACGTGTTGGTTTATCTGTGTTGTATTTTTTTTCTTGGTGTTTCTTTGATGTATGAATTAGCATCTTGGGTATCGTGTTTGGAGGATCTCTCTCAGCTGTATCTTTCTGTTTGGCTGGCTGCGGCTGACAGAGCGGATGTGGATAATTACAAGGTGTTCTCCCAACGCGCCAACCTTGGAGATGCCTGCCTCCGACTCCCTCCCCGTTACGTTCTCATAGTTCTTTTCTTCCTCTCCCTCCTCCTCCTGCCACTCAGTTGTTTCTCAAGGAACCACAGCACCACAAACCCTAAGTGCAATCTTGAACAGACTGTGTGTGGGTATTTTTTTACATGTCTTCTTTTCCTGTCTGTTTGATTACAGCTCTTAATACATATCCTCTTTTTTGGCTATCCGTCTTTTCAACTCTATTTGGACAGACACCCACACACACACTAAACCACCTACATTTTTGCTCCCACGCAGCCACATTTCAGGAGTAAATCCAATGTTTTGCAGTGGTCTATTTCAAATGTGCCCTCCTGTTAAACTTCCATTTCCCTGCTCTGACTCACAAACCTGACCACAGTTTGTTAAGCTCCCACCATTCTAGTCCACAAGTTGAAGGATGGTTTAATGAATGTGGGAGCATGTATTGTAGCCGTACAACATAAAGCTATCATGCAGCAAATGAACAAAAAAGCCACTTGTTTATATTCCAAACTATAGCTAAAGTATTATCATTTCTTTACTTTTCTTTTGTGTGTCTGCAGTTTCTTCTGCAAGTTGTTTTGGAACGCAACACCCTTATGCTATTGGCTTTGCAAAATTCTGTTCAAACAAAAATGATCAAAACTGATCAGAGCTCAAGCATCACAATGGACGGCAGCGTCGGTGCAGTTTTTGTTTGCCTAGTGATTACCGTCTGTGTGCACACAGCCGCTGTGTATGTTTGAGGTACATTTTTGTCTGTGTATACATTAGCGTTGTATGGGCTTGCATGCACATTGGGAAAATATCTCTGCATCTGTGTTTGAGACGCAGGCTTGAGTTACAGCCTTGTACAGCTTGCAGAACCGCGAGTATGAATGGGTCCCACCACCTGCTAAATCTTGTCAGTCAGATGGAGAAAAGGGTGCACGCTTCTATCGGATAAGAGTCATGTTACGAATGAGAGGGGGAATCTACGACGGGCTAATATGAATGTTAAATATGTGAGAAAGTCAAAGGATTGTGTCTCTGTTTAACTAGGCTGGTGCTATTTGAGATATTTTATATACAAAATGAATGGTTGTACTGTTTTAGTCTTGTGGTTTTAAACGTTTCATTGTAGGTCAACTTACATACGCTAACGATCATAATACTGTACTTTAATTCACATTTTGCTTTAAAGCAGCTATTTTTTCCTGTTATAAATAACAAAAAATAGCCTGAAGTAGAGGAGAGGAGAAAATCTTCCCTCTTGGAAATTTCCAGTGCAAATGCACTGAACGAATCAAATCAAAAAGTTGCAATGCAGAACCCTCAGTTAGTGTCACGCGGAGCAGAAATGTGTGCTTTTGTATAA